CAGTGCTCCTGTGACACTGGTAGCTCATGCTATAGACAACTGCTTCACTGTGAGTCTTTGACTATACAGCTGTTATTAATGTAGGGTAGGTCTAAACTGGATGTCCTAGTAAATTAAAATTGAATTAGACCTTAAATTAAATTCTTCTTTTACTAAAGAATGGTCAACCTCTGAACTTGAGCAGAAATTAGCTTCAATTTATAATCCAAGTTATATGATATTTAAATGTAATCAAGGCCTCAAGTGTTTTGCCAAATTGGCACCACTGACATCTAATATTTATTTTAAAATATACGTATGGATGTGTTTAGAGGTTTTTTATCGTTTCATTGTTCAGCTCTTTTGTCTTCAGATCCAATGTTAAGCCAAAGTACTTTGTACAATTTTTCCAAGAAACCTTGCTTATGCTCCTCAAGTATTTCAGGAAATATTGGAATAAGCACAACAACAACAAAGTATACAAAACTACCTACACCTATGGGTGTTTTTTCTTTTTTGGGCATGTTTGTTTTTATATGCTCACATATATACAATGCACAAAGGTTTGCAGCTTTTACAAAAGATTGTTAGTACAGGAGGTGTTTGGAACTGTTAACAACAAATGGGTAACTGAATTGAGAATTTAGCAAAAGAGAACCAGAAGTTTAAGAATGAAATGAATTGTTGAGTGTCAGGATCAGATGTGAATGTTTATGTTTTACTGTCATGAGAGAGCACAACTGTGTTATGACTAGAAGACTGATTTCATATTTCATTTTTTACAGAATCACAAAATTGTTGGATCTGGAAGGGACCACTGGGGGTCATCTAGTCCAGCCTCCCTGCTCAGACAGTCACATAGAGAACGTTGCTCAGGACTGTGTTCCGATGACTCCCGAATATCTCCAGGGAAGGAGACTCCACAACCTTTCTGGGTAACCTATTCCAGTGCTCAGTCACCCTCACAGTAAAGAAGTTCTTTTTCATGTTCGGGTGGAATTTTTCATAGTTTAATTTCTGCCCGTTGCCCCTCGTCCTAGCTCCTGGCACTACCATGAAGAGTCTGGACCTTTCTCTTGACACCCTCCCTTCAGATACTTATACACATTGATCAGATGGCCCCAAGCCTTCTTTTCTCTAGGCTGGACAGGCCCAGCTCCCTCAGCCTTTCTTAATGTGAGAGGTGCTCCAGGCTATTCATCATTCCAGCAGCCCTTTGCTGGACTTTCTACAGGAGCTCCGTGTCTCTTGCGCGCGGGAAGCCCAGAACTAGACACAGTACTCCAGCGAGTACTAGACTCGTTGCCACTGATAACAACCCTTTGAGACCTGCCATTCAGCCAGTTCCCAATCCAGCTTGCCATCCACTCATCTGCCTCACAAATCCTGAGCTCGCCTATGAGGGTGCCATGTGGGACAGAGTTAAAAGCCTTGCTGAAATCCACAGACAACATTCTCTGCCCTCCTTTCATCTATCCAGCTTGTCCCAACATAGTAGGCAATCAGGTTGGTTAAGCATGATTTCCCCTTGGTGAATCCATGATGACTATTCCTGATGACCTACTTGTCTTCCACGTGCTTAGAGATGGCCTCCAGGATGAGCTGCTCTGTCACCTTTCCAAGGATTGAGGTGAGGCTGACTAGCCTTTAGTTCCCAGGGTCCTAGTTCTTGCCCTTTTGAACAATAGGGTGACATTTGCTTTCTTCAAGCCCTCAGCCACCTCCGTCAATTGCCATGGCCTTTCAAAGGTGATGGAGACTGGCCTAGCAGTAATGTCTCAGCACTTGGGGGTACATCCCATCAGGGACCATGGATCTGTTGATGTCAGGTTTGTCTAAATGATCTGTAACCCAATCCTCCTGTACCAAAGTGACTTTCTTTTAGATTTCTTTCCTGATCTCCTGGGTCAGTGATTCCTGAGGGCTGGCCTTGGACTGAAGATTGAAGCAAAGGTGGCAATTTGTATTTCTTTGTCATCAGGGTCCCTGCTCCATTCAGTAGTGGGCCCCCATTTTCCTTAGTTTTCCTCTTATTAGTGATGCATTGGGAGAAGCCGTTCTTGTTCACCTTGACATCCTTAGCCAGATGTAATTCTAAATATATGTATTTGTATATATTGTTGGCTCTCCTCATCATATTTCTGCATACTCTGACAACATCCCTATACTCATTCCAAGCTTCCTGCTTGGGATATCCCTGCTTTCATTTCCTGTATATCTCCTGCTTGTATTTGAGTTTTGACAGGGGTTCCTTTTTTATCTCTGCAGGTCTCCTGCTTGATTTTAACTGAGTTTCCAATATATGAATTTTGTGTAAATGTGTCTAATAACCTTCAAATATATGTTCAGATTGAATGACCAAGCCAATTATTTCCTCAAAAGTACTTATTGGAATTGTGTTGGAGACATACAAGGTAGCATAATCATGAATATGCCACTTGTTTCCAAATTAATTTCTCTCAACCTTGGCATCATGCTTTTTGTTAAATAATTATTCCTATATTTGAGGTGTTCTTGTAATACTACAGCAAAGGAAAGTTGCATCAATCCACGTTTTTGTTGAATAAATGACCTTACAATTACAATACAGTCAGTGCTGTATTCTCTAAAGTGGCAAATGTGGCTTAATTGGGTAGTGAACAATGAAACCTTCCTATAATTGTGCTGTTCAGTGACTCAGTATGTTGTGCTTTCTTCCAGACAGTATTTACCAGAATTAGCTGCTGTATATTAATTGTAGGTAGGAAAAGGGCACGAGTTGTCAGAGGGAGCATTTGTATACTGCTGGACAACTGCTGTCATAAGACTAAGGGGTTCTTTTTCTGGAGCACCTTGCAAAAGCAGATAACATACTTAACTTTTTTTTATTATTATTTTTCCTCAGATGTCTTAAGCAGCCACTGTTCCTTTTGCGCTGAACTTTGAAATGCACCAGTGCTTAAATGGTTTACTTTGTTGTCCCTCATCTTTGTAATGACAAACAAGGTAAGGCAGTTAGTGGAAAGAAAAAAAACCAGGTTTTCTTTTTAATAAGGTTTTCCTCATTAGTGCATGTTCCTTTCTCAGTTAGGTGAAAGCAAACTAAACTATGTTCAGAAGCACTGGTTTTTGCACTGGGTAATTGGACAAATTTTCTCATTGAGAAAAATGTATTTTTATTAAAATGTATTTCTTCAGTGCACTTAATGTGTGTGTCATGAGAACACTTGGCCTTCCTCCCCTTCTTAATCTTCTAGCCTTTTTATCTCAGCCCTCACACTGAATAATGCCATAAACTAGAAGACCAAAGGATGACACCAAAGAGAAACAAAGAGCTATTATTGAATAAGATAAATGTAGACCCAGTTCTGCTAATTCTAATTGACTTAGAATTTGGTGAGGATTCTTCCGTCACATCATCCATCATGGACAGATGTGAGGGTGGGAGAGAAGTAAGCAATTGAAAATATGTTCTTCATTTCAGGTATTTTGTGATTTCTCATTCAGTTAGGTTTCATTGACTGCTTCCCTCTTCCTGCCAAGTATAAAATCATTTGTCAGTTTTTGAGGTTAGAATTAGTGTCCCTGAAAAGACTCACACTGACAACCACTGGGGATGGAGCATAAATATATTTTACTTCTAGAACAGGTGCTGCATTAGGAATGACAGTTGAAGCTTCCCCAGGCTGCCCCACCATTATATGCTTCCAACTTGGCCTGTGGCGTAAACTCTTACTGATGAAATGTAATATTTTGATATTCGGGTCGATGGACTTTCATTTAGCACAGTATACCTGTGGCATCCCCTCCCTGAGGAAACTATTAAAGTGCTGTGCAGGATCTCTAACAGGATTGAAGTATTTTATATGCAGTAAGGACAGTCAGAGCTATGCAAGCTAAGATAATAAGCGTAATCAAATTTCATACTCCAAGGAATATACTGATTGCCTCAGGGATCAGGAAAAATTTAACTCCATGTTCACCTTTTGTGCTACTTCATGCAAATAGAGCAGCTGTACAAGCAGAAAGGCCTCTAAGGCATTGGTTGGTGTCCGCTTTTTCTGGCAGGATAACAAGCTGTATAAACCAGTGGTTCAACAAACTAGAACCTATAGGAGAGAGAAAATCTTTGGTACTAGTCAAAAAAATGACAAATCAGGGTTGTGAGAGAGATTTTCTACACTTGAGCAGCTTAAATTAGAAAATGGATTACTTTAGAATCATGTTTGTCTTTGATTTGTCTCACACCAGAATCCTAAATACTGCAACTCCCATCTCCTAGTTAATATTTTGCATGTAAATGCACGTGTAAAGCCGTTGGTATCAACCAAACATTCCCTGAGCCAAATCCTGGCACATGCAAACCTTTCATCACACCTTACCCCAGCAAGGCTGCTTCAGCCGTCCCTCATGTAAGGGCAGTTTAGAAGGTGCAGTGCATGTGACTGATGGCTTTAGCATGCATTTTGGACTAAGATTAGGGTTTAGTTTAGGGCTAGCAATTCCTGATATTCCTTTTAGAAATGAATGGAAACAAAGTTATAACAACAAACTCCTTAGTTAGGAGCACAAGGGGAGATTTAATGCAGGATATTGTGCTCTGAAATGTTATTTCTGCACTCAACCTGCTCGTTTCTAACAGGTGTAACCCCACCTGGTGAAACCAATGCATTTTGAGTGTACTGGGGACCCAGGAAGGTGTTAGTGGCCTTGACCAGCCCCACCTGGTCCAGGCACTATTTAAGCTCAGAACAGGTTTTTCCACCTCTTTCTAGCAATGCTGCAGCAGACAGCCTCTCTTCAGGCCCCCTGGACTTACCTTTGGATTTCTGAGGTTGGTTTTGGATTTGACCTGGCTTGATGATCCTGAACCTCAAAGGAGCCTGTTGCCATCGTCAGCCATTGCGGGTGTGTGGGTTGGTGAGGTCCCTGCCCACCAGCGTCGCACAGGGTCCCTTCTTGCCCTATCTCATTTCTGGGGTTCTGCAGGACCCTTCTCACATGGTGGCCACAGCGCAGTGGGATGAACCCCTTGACCAAGTAGGTTATCTGCTTCATTTCATAACCTGGTTTTGAAAGTCTGGAGTTTGTGGTGTTTGTTTCTGCCTTGGTTTCCTTATCGAAGAGTGACCTGAGGCCTCTTGAAGTGATGAGGGGGTGATAATCTCCGGGGGGGGGGGGGGAGGGTGAGGTAGTTGGGGTATGCGTTTGTCCGGCTTGGTTTTGTGGGGCTTTGTTGTTCTGTTTTAGGTTGGTGCCCTGAAGTATGGTATTTTCTGAAGGGCATGGTGTTTTCTCCCTAATTTGCTTTTTTTTGTAGCAAAAACCCAGCCTGGTTTTGGGGTGTTTGTTGTTTGTTTGGTTTTTTGTTATTATTTTTTTGCCTATATGAGTATCTGGTTTTTGGTGGTGTGTGCTGGAGAAGAGGTGAAATGTTAGTTAAGATTTTTGACCTTCTTCACATGTTATTATATTGAGTAACTTGCTAAAGTCAGTGATGTTTTACCAGTATAAAAATAGCTTTTAGTCTAACAGCTGTCTGATAACTGTCTGTTATAGTTTTGTTATGTGTCCTCTTGCGTTAACTTTGGTAAGTCTTTTAAATATTGGTCTTTGTTAATTCTAAAAGAAGATGCATGTACTAGTGAGAACATTTATGGAGGTGCAGGTAAAGTCCTTGAAAGTAGAGATGGTGGAAAGCTCAGGGAGATGATAATCAGGGCTCAGAAGAAAACTGAGGCAGTCTATGGACAGAAGAGGAAGGAGGAAAAGGGGCTGATGCTGAGAGGACAATGATTACTGCCTGATGGCTGCCAGTGAGGTGAGGAAGGAAGTAGAAGTCCTGCAACTGTGTACTCAGTGTGCATGCCACAGTAGCTTAAGTAAAGGAAGATGTCCTGTGAGACAAAGGGGCACAAAATCACAAAATGGGATATAGAAACTTTTATAAGAAGTTTTACGTAATGTTAAGTTTGATGGCTTTGTAACAGTAGCACTGGAAAATTACTGAGGTGCAGGATACATAGAGAAAAAAAAACAGAGTACAACTAGAGAACATACTAAGAATTCTCACAAGATAAATCGTTATAGTTGGCCTAGTTTTAAGAAAAACAGTCTAGAAGAACAGGACACAGGGATAAGGAGTATCTGGGAATGGCAGGTGTCCAGGATGGGCTACAGTTGAACTAACTGATAAGTAGGAGGATAGGAGGATTATTATGTCTCTGGTGCTAACGAACCAATTAAACTGGTATGAGCATCTACTGCGCGTGCTTCAAAGGCTGCCAGAAGTGATGAAGATTGTTGGAAGAAGTAACCGACCCTCAGAGACCACCACCACAATTCTGTACGCATGCGGGGAACTCTCTGGAAAATGATGTAATCCATATGTAGCCTCATGAATATGTATGTATGTCCAGTGACTATATAAGGGTGGCTTGTATAGCAGTACGGGGACACACGTTAGGAGGATTTATCCCCCGTGTCTCCCGGCGCCGCAATAAAGAATACCTGCTTGTCAGCTTGAAAACTTTGTTGGCAAGTTTGTTCCTGGAGTTTTCTCCGAATCAATTTGGCGACCCAGATGGGACCCCCTCTGCTCGGCTGCAGGACCCGCTGAGGACAGGGCTCCCTAGGGCCCTCGGGAATTTTTCCTGGAGGGACCCCTCGACTCATTCGGATCGCTGCGGGAGCAGACAAGGACCATCTCATAAAAGGTATTCTTTTTTTTGTATAGTCTGTAAGGTGCAGGGGGCACCTCGGTTTGGTAAATTGGTTTAGTAAATTGGTTTGGTAAATTGGTTTGGTAAATTGGTTTGGTAAATTGGTTTGGTAAATTGGCTTGGTAAGCGTACGCATGGTTTGGAAGCCTTCCGTAAATCGAGATAAGAAATCTCGTAGGTAAAGGCGTATACCCGGCTGCTAGCGTCCGTTCGGTATACGCCCACAAGAAGCAGGGGGCTTCTTGTGGTTTGGGTCCTGCAAGACGCAGGGGGTGTCTTGCAGAAAAAGGTTTTGGATTTTACTGGTATACACCCAAAGGAAGCAGGGGGCTTCTTGTGGTTTGGGTCCTGCAAGACGCAGGGGGTGTCTTGCAGAAAAAGGTTTTGGATTTTACTGGTATACACCCAAAGGAAGCAGGGGGCTTCTTGTGGTTTGGGTCTTGCAAGACGCAGGGGGTGTCTTGCAGAAAAAGGTTTTGGATTTTACTTGTATTTGATTTATTTTGTGGCTTGTTATATTAAGGATTTTGGTCTTGTGGTTTTGGTATCAGTGACAGACTGCTATAACTAAGCAGGGGGTATCATCTTGTGATTTAGGTCCTACAAGACACAGGGGGGTGTCTTGTGGAAATGGTTTTGGGTCCAGTGTGCTATCAACAGCCCATAAGGGATTTTTTTCAGTGATGCTGTCAGCGGGGGTCCCTGAATAGGTTAGTAGAATCACCCTCCAATACAGTGGGCTGTTCAGTATGGTTCCCACAGTGGGACGCAGACAGGCTGGTCGGACACAAGGGTCTCATCCTTCCTGGGACACTGACAGGCTGGTCAACTATAAAGGGTTCAAGGAAACCCCCCTATTAATGTTACAATATGGTCTGAGCTATAAGGGTTAGGAAGTATTGCTTTTGATTCTACTGGTATTCGCTTATTTTGTGGCTTGTTACAGTAATGATTTTGGTCTTGCGATTCTGGTACTGGTGACAGGATGTTATAACTGTGTTATTAACTGTTGTTTGTTTGGTTGAATTTAAGTCTCTGTCTTTGTCTCAAGTGTTGTAACTGTGTGGAGTATGTCTGGGGATCCCATCTGTGTGTGTGTGTGTGAATGTGAGATTGATAATGGAAAATCAGCAGAGTGAAGAGATCTTGAAAAAGAATCCTTTTGGGTGCATTTTGGCACACTGGAAAAAAACTTGGAGGGTCTCCTGGGGGCTTGGTAAATAAGAAAATATTGGTAAAATATTGTAACCAATGGTGGCACTTTGTATACTTTGGAAGATCAGGAAAAATGGCCTAAAAATGGAACTCTGAACTATAATACATTGTTACAATTAATGTTGTTTTAAGGGGGCAAGGAAAATGGGATGAAGTAATTTATGCAGATACGTTTTTCACTTTAAGAAATCACACAGAGTGACAGACTGAATGCAAAATTAATATAGCTCCACCAGATTCCTTAATTTTGGCTTTGGAAAAGGACAGGGAAAAACTGAAAGTTACGCTGGAGATGCTCAGCCTCTGATATTGGGGAAAGATGTTTAAAGTTAAAAAACAGTAATCAGGAACATAAGGTGGAAAATCACGTACTACAGGTACCTCCGAGAGGAGCACCCTCTGCCTCTGTCCTATCTGATATTGATAAGGAGGAAGAGATTTCTGTCACTGGCAACAAGCGGCACATCCACATTCAGAGTTAAGAAGGGGTTAAACCAGAAGTGCCGTTGCAGAGGCAGGCATCTGCAGGCCCTGCAGAGCAGGGGGAGCTGCTGTGAGAAAAAGAAAAAAAAAAAAAGGAAAACCAAGGGGGAAAGGAGGGGAGCTCGAGCAGCTCCAGTGTTTGAGCGTGGGAGGAGGGATGTCTGCAGGAGGTGGGGGAGTGGGCTCTTCTCTTCTGTGGGACCGGACCGGTGTGCGTGCTATGGGGGGTTTTGGACGCTGGAAGTGAGACTGCCTGGGGAGGGCAGTGCCATGGAGTGGCTCCGGTGACTGAACTGGAACTAAACTGACGGGGACCTGGGGAATATACCCTAGCAGATCCACTGGTTACATTAAGACTATGAACTAGGGGAAATAAAGTGGAATTTTAGTGGATACAGGAGTAACTTATTTGGTGTTAAATAAGAGAGAAAAGAATTCGTTACAGATGTGGGAGCTACTGGCCACCAAGGAAAAGAGGAAAAAAAAAAAAAGGCATTCTTTTTGGAACCTTTAAAGTACAAATTGGGAAAACAAATCGGAATGCATAAATTTTTATGCATGCCAAATTCTCTAAAATCTTTGTTAGGGCGAGAAGCAACATTTAAAGAAGGCAAAATGGACTTCAGAGTTAAAAACAATTAATTGCAGTTTTGAGTTTAATTCAACAGAAAAGCAAAAAGGAGGACCTCCCTGAAATAGAAGAAATCCTTAATCAGGTGTATGTGGGAGTATGGGCACCTGAAGTTCCAGGTAAGGCGAAAAATGCTTTGCCTGTTATAGTGGAAATAAAAAGGGGGGGCCTACCCAATTAGAATAAAACAGTATCCCTTAAAATTAGAAGATCAAAGGGAATAAAAAAAAAAATTGATAAATTTTAAAATATAGATTATTAATTGAATAATAATCAAAAATGGTTTGCCGTCCTGGATTTAAAAGACACTTTCTTTTGCTTACCACTGGCCAAAGAAAGCCACAATTATTGGCTTTTAAATGGGAAAATCCTGACAGAGGAAGGGAAACTCAATTAACTTGGATAGTTTACATAAAGGGTTAAAAAAACAAACAGTCCAGCAATTTTTGGAAATCAGCTAGCATGAGAACTAGAATCATGGAAGCCACCTACTCAAACGGGACTCTGTTACAATATGTGGATGACCTGTTAATTGCTACAGAAACAAAGGAAGAATGTATCAAGTGGACAGTGGAATTGTTAAATTTTCTGGGACTGAATGGTTATCGGGTATCCAAACAAGGCCCAACTAACCCAAACCCAAGTTTCCTACCTAGGATATGAAATAACAGGAGGACAGAGAGAACTTGGAACTGCTAGAAAAGAAGCCATTTGCCAGACTCCAAGACCAGCGACCGTCAAGGAGCTCCGGACATCCCTGGGAATGACTGGATGGTGCAGATTTTGGATCCATGATTATGGTGTTCTGGTAAGACCCCTATATGACCTGTTGAAAGGAAACTCTCCCTCTTTAGAAT